CGGCGGGTCGGATTCAAGTGACCCGCGATTCTCGATCTTTTCGGCCGCCGTCTTGGATTTTGGCCTCCAAACTTTGTGCAGTTTCTGTGGCTTCTTTTCCACTTCTTCACTCTGCAACCTTTTGGCCTTTTGCGCAAGAATTCGCGCGTGCGCAAGCAGTGTGCGACGCTTTTTGATCCGCTCTTCAAGAGTTAAACGGGTCCTTTTGACTTGTACACATTCACTTGTTGGTGATTTGGAAGAGAGGGCATTTGTCCGCTGTTGGGGCGCTTGGCGTTGCCTAATTTTCAGATCCGCCTCGTAACGGATCCCGTCAATTGACTCCAAAGCCCTAGCAAGCTGACGCACAAGGCGTTGACGTCGCCTTTGACGTGCCCTCTTCGATAACGTGTGCGCGCCTTCTGTACTCAACTCCTTGATTGAGGAGGAGTTCAGATCTGTAGATCCAGACTCGTTGGAGGCCGGAAGGGCGTTGCAAGGTTCAGCTACCGCAGAAACGGGGGCGTTGATCTTCCTTTGCTTGCGAAAGGCGGAGGATCTGGCGGAGGAGGACGACAGATACTCCTCGAACTTCAGTTGGTCGAACTCGTATTCGACCACTTCTTCAACCGGGATGCAGACCCAAGGTTGCGACACGACAGCTCCGACCGCGAAGCTGTTGGCTCCCACTGTGGTCGCCAGTTTGTTTGCGTCGAAAATTGATGTATTCATTGCGGTATTCATTACAACTTCAATCGTTACAATGAAAACAAAAAAAGATTGTCTTTTTATAAGACTTTTACACAATGAAAACAAAAGTTTACAACTCTCGTCAAAACAAACACAGAGATCGTTTATCGGTCTTCTGCTTGCGTGGGATCTTTGCCTGTGCCGGGGTTTATCCGTGGACCGCCTTAGATCTGGATCCGGTTGATGGAAAATTCGGCAGAGCTTCGCCTTCGCCGAGGAAGTATTTGATTTGAAGCGCTGAGATCGACCAAGCGAAATCAGGGCTCTTCTCGAGATTAAGACCAAGCCTAATCTCAAGGGACGGGAACGGGCGTCGGATCTCTCGAACTCTCCTTCTTTATGCCGAAGAACTCGCCAAGATCTGTTTTGCCTTCGCTGAAATTCGTGCTCCTTTGACTCCACAATCCGGCAGCACCTCCTCGTCTTGATAATCAATCGCCCCCGCTAAAAGGAGGCCCTAGGCTTGTATTTATAGGGCTTCGGAAGCGGTTATTTGGATGAGAACAAGTGATTTGGCTCTATCTTCAGTTAACAACAGCCTAACCACGTTTGGGGATGATATCAAGTCAGTTAAGAACCCCTGGAACCGATAAACCCTGCAAAAAACCAATTTAAAACCGTCAAAATGTGTTTTGAAACATTAGACTGCGCGGCGGAACGATCTGACCTGCGCTCGCGCGGGTCGGAATAATCCGACCCGCACTGGCGCGGGTCGGAATAATCCGACCCGCACTTGCGCGGGTCGGAATCATCCGACCCGCGCTTGTGCGGGTCGGATTGATCCGACCTGCACATGCGCGGGTCGGATTGATCCGACCTGCGCTTGCGCGGGTCGGATTGATCCGTCCCGCGCTCGCGCGGGTTGGATCATTCCGTCCTGCGCTTAGCGCGGGTTCGCCGACTTTTTCCCCTTTTTTGTTTCTTTCTTCCGAGACTTGTTCTTGTCGCGTATTCGATAGATTTGTTGATTTGTATGCTCCGTCGCGAGACCAATCGTTGAACGCGCGTTGGTTAATGTACGCGTGCTGATCGATGAGCGCGTGCTGATTGACGTGCGCGCGTTGACCGGCGCGCACGAGGCGGTTTGTCGTGTGCGTGTTTGACCGGCGCGCACGAGTTGGTTGACGTACGCGCGTTGGCCGGCGCGCATGAGATGATTTGACGTACGCGCGCTGACCGGCGCGCACGAGTTGGTTGACATGCACGCGTTGACTGGTGCACACGAGTTGGTTGACGTGCGCGCGTTGACCGGCGCACACGAGTTGGTTGACGTACGCGCGTTGACCGCCGCGTACGAGTTGATTTGACGAATCTTCTTGATTCGCCCATTTATTGCTTCGAGTTTCGTGTGGGCTCTCGTAGACAATTTTAGACGCCTACAGTTCTTGATTCGCCCATTTATTGCTTCGAGTTTCGTGTGGGCTCTCGTAGACAATTTTAGACGCCTACAGCGGTGACCTCACTATATGAAAGAGATGCATTCCTATTAATAAGAGTAAGAATGAAAGTCTCATATTCCTCGTCGGGCAAGGATCTCAACAATAACAATGCCTTATCCTCATCTTTAATCATCACATCTACATTCGCCAAATCTCCAAGAAGCTTCGTGTAGTGGTTCATGTGATCACCAATGGAGGTTCCTTTTTTCAATTGGAAGCGATAAAGCCTTCTCTTCAAATGTAAGCGGTTCTCTACACTCTTAGTCAAATACTTGCTCTCAAGGATCTCCCAAATTTTCTTAGCCGAAGTCTCATTGATCACATCATATTTCAAATCTTGAGTCAAACAAGATCTAATCACACCATTCACCGTTCTATTCATCTTCTTTCAAACCTTTTCCTCAATGTCGTTCGGTTTCTCGTCCAACTCTATTGTATCTTTCAAATTTTACGTGTTGAGCGTATCCAAGACTTCACATCTCCAAAGACCAAAATTATTTGTGTCATTAAACTTCTCCACATCTATATTCATAGAGTGGATATTCAAACTTTGAACAATCTTCACGTTGGAAGTACCCTCCATAACTCCTTTCTCGGCCATCTATCTCAAAGCACCAATAAATCAAAGCAGAACAAACAAAGAATAGATCCAAAATTGAAAAGATAGAGTCTTTATAAAAAAAGATCCCACCTTTATCACCAAACGAAGTCCTAGACGAGCCTCCAAAACGATCTACTTCTCCAAATAGTCCAAGCGTAGCTCAAGCTCTGATACCACTTGCTGTGCGTGGTGGAAGTCAAAACCAAACTGATGTGCTTCGAGAGACCAAATCAAACAAACGCCGAGAGAAGGCCAAACATAATCAAAATAACAGCACGAAGACAAACAACTAATTTTTACGTGGTTCGACAAGTTGCCTACGTCCACGGGGCAAGAAGAGGATGGGGTTTTTACTAATAGAGAAGAAGAGTACAAACTGAGATTACAAATTACTCGAACTCACTAATTAATCTCACCAACAAATCTCTAATTCTCTCCAAATAAAACCTTAACCAATAGCTCAGAAAATACCTTTTTTCTGTGCTCCGAATATCCCAATTCGATGCTCAATTCTCTCTTCCAATTGGTCCATTTACATAGAAATCCTAAAACCAAATACATACTAGGAATTCTAAACAAAAAACAAAATGATTAGGAATCCTAATAACTTGTTACCAAAACATATTTGAAATCCTATTACCAAAATAGATTAGGAATTCTAATAGCCTGTTACCAAAATAAATTAGAAAACATATTAGGAACATGCTATCCAACATGTTATTCAAGAGAATCCGATCATAGTGAGAAAAAGAAAGAGTGGATGTAGGATTTATCTGAACCACTATGAAAATATCATGCGTTCTGGTTTAGTTTTTTTTTGGTAAATGAAAAATTTTATTCATCACCAAAATAGGAATTATGTACATCAAGAATCTCTACTCAAGAGTGAGATATCGGATATGAGACTAGAGTTCAAACAAGCACAGAGCTCAAGGGAAATACTCCTTTCAAAAAACACAGAGTAATCCCTACAAGATTGATAGATTAAGTCTGTTTTGTGCACCTACTGTTTGTGCACCTTCTTCTCCTCGAAAAACCCCTCTTCAACAAAGCTATATAGAGAGACCCCATTCCCTGCATTCAGATGACTGAGAATTCAGAGTGGCAGTGAGGATATCCATCTTGATGTTCTTAATTAAAGTATCAGGAGCTTACTCTTCAATTTGAAAATTCTGCAGTTCCTTTCTTTCCTAATAGCATAAACTGTAGCAGCCAACGCCATCCTCTTAATCTTTTGTTTTATACCCTTACCCCTCAACCTGAAATTGAGCCAATTCAGGAGGGTAGACCAGTTGCAAGATCTCCATTTGAAGTTGAGCCATTCCATAATACCATTCCAAACATTATTTGATAAAGTGCACTCGAAAAAGAGGTGATTTCTGCTCTCTGAGATAGAAGAGTCACATAGCTTACAAACCGATGTCTGGATAATTCCATGTTTGAGGAGTCTATCTTGAGTTTGAAGCTTGTCATGGACCGCCAGCCACAGTATGAACGAGTGTTTAGGATAGCTTAAATTTTCCCAAACTGTATCGTGCCATGCCACTTGAGTTGTAATAGGTGACAACCTGGAGTATAAGTCAGAGAGTTGAATTTTTGAGTTGTTGCAGCATGAATTGAGAATCTGTTTGAGATTTTCAATCCCTCCGCACAAATCAATACATTTATCCCTGATGCTCAATAGTTGTTTCCACATCCAAGAGTCTCCCTTCCTTGCATTTACCATCCAAATGCTTCTATTTTTCAGATAATTCTCATGGGACCATTTAATCCACAATTGTTCCTTGTTCTTGTGAATACTCCAAAGGATTTTGAGGGCAACAGCAGTGTTCCAAAGTCTTGCCGAAAAAATGCCCAAACCTCCATTTTTCTTTTGGACAGAGACACTACTCCATGACACAAGTGAAGGTTTAGAAGTATGTTCTGATTTTCCCCATAGAAAACACCTACATAGCTTATTAATTTTTTGTAGAACTTTTACTGGAAGGATGTAACTAGATGTCCAAAAAATTTGAACATCCAATATAACACTCTTAATAATCTGTACTCTTCCAGCATAAGATAGTGATTTATTTTTCAAACAACTCTGGAACTGGTTTGATATCTTTAGGAGCAGAGGGTTACAATCTATGTAAGACATCCTTTTACATTTAAGAGGAAGGCCTAAATATCTGATTGGAAGAGTACCTTCAGGAAATCCTAGGGAATTACTAATCACATGTTTGGTTTCTTCAGGACCATGCAGATTTGTAAAAGAAAGCATTAAACCCATCGGGGCCTGGGGCCTTATTATCATGCATTGAGAAGATGGCAGCTCTAATTTCTTCACTTGTGACTGGCTTAGATAGTTCACTTGCTTGGCTAGAATTCAGACATGCTCCATTTTGTGTGATATGTCTATCAGGTTTAACAGTATGAATTGCAGTCCCCATTAATCTTTTATAATAAGAGACAAACTCTTTTACTATCTCTTCCCCATCAGTAAGCCTATCTCCATGGCTGTTATAGAGAATTGAGACTCTATATTTGTGCCTGTTTGCTTTAATAGCAGAATGGAAAAGTGCAGTATTTCTGTCACTTTGAATACACCAGGCAGTTCTTGCTTTCTGCTGATAGAAAGAAATTTCATGATCCAAGAGTTTATTGTATAGAGCAATAGATTTCCTTTCATGACAGATAAATGTAGGGTTGAGGGGATCATCTTGAAGTTTCTTTTGAATTTCCTCCATCTCAATTTTTGCTCTTATGACTTTCTCACTTATATTACCAAAGTGTCTTCTATTCAAGGACTTCAAAGCTCCTTTCAACCTTTTTAACTTTGTGTAGACAGAATACATGTGGAAACCATTGATTTGAGAAAGCCAAATATCAGACACAGTGGGTAGAAAATCAGCATGCTTCGTCCACATATTAAAAAATCTGAATGGTTTTTTTACAATAAGAGCAGTCTTCATAAACTGAGATTATACCAGGAGAATTATCAGATAACCTGGGTACCATAAACTCCACATGACTAGAATTTAGCCATTGAAACCAGTTGTCATTTACAAGAGTTCTGTCTAAACGGCTCCAAACTCTTGTATCCGGGTCTTGCTTATTGTTCCATGTGAAGAAACACCCTAAAGTTTTTAGATGGGAGAGTTGACAGTCATCAATGAAAGATCTGAAGTCCATTGTGTCAGTGTCAGTTACTGACGAGCCTCCAAGTTTCTCTTCATTACATAAGACTGTATTAAAATCACCAAAAATAATCCAAGGCATGCTGCCAATTGATCTATGTATAAGGGATAATTATGTCCATAAATCCTTTCTAGCTTGAATATTGTTGTATCCGTACACAGATGATATGACACTTGAGAATCTTCCATCCATAGAGGTAACCCTACAAGTTATCTGCTGGCTAGAGAGGTCCATTTGTTGAATGTCTAGGAGGTTAGAATCCCATAATATAAGAATTCTAGCCCTCTCAGAGTTGCTCACATTTGAAAGCCAATCCCAATCTTTAGCAATTCTTTTTGTAGCATCCTTGATATTAGCTTTCTTGATCTTAGTTTCCAGAAGAGAGATAAAAGACAAATGATAGAGATGCAAGTGTTGTTTAACCAACAATTGTTTAGAGGGTTTATTTAACCCTCTCACATTCCAAAAGGATAAGTTCATTTAAGGAGCAATCTTCCTCTATCAGTTGTAGAGGGGTCAGAATCCAAATTCTCCAAATATAGGAAAGAATTGCCAGCATTCTTACTATCAGACAATCTGGGATTTATAGAATTATCTCCAAACTGGGAAAAAAACACCAAAAGAGTTTCCAGACAACTTGGATTTATTACCTTGAACATGTATCCATGAATTGTATTCATGAGAACCATCAGACATAGGTAGTTGCCTGTGCACAACATGCACAACTCTTGGCTCAGTTTCCTTCTCTTGGTCAGGTATTAAATTTGCCGATAACTGATGTGGATTACCAGTACTCCCATTCAAATTTGAGATTTCTTCAAGATGTGCTTCTTTATTTGAAAAATTCCCCCCATGATGTAAATCATGTACATACTATGGAGATTTACCAATATTAACAGACAATCCTGGTATTCCAGTGTGAGTAGACAATACCTCTGTATTTGAAGATTCACCTAATACATGCACCACATGCACAGGTGACTGGTAATTCCTAGTGTTCATATGCTCTTGTACTACAGATTTTCCTTTATTCCCCCCTTCAACTACATCTTTATTTACATTAAGTATGAAACCAGATTTACTATTGATTCCAGGAGCTTGTTTCTTAGGAATCCATTTCTGCATTTTTGGTCTCTTATTGCAAAAATTGGTATCATGACCCACAAATTTGCAAAAATCACACCATCTTAGCTTAAATTCATAGACCACCCTCTGATTATAAGATTTACCATTTGGCCATTGTATGGTGACATGATCAGGTAGGGGGGATGGCATTTTAATCTCTACCAAGACTCTAGCATATGACAGCCTTTGTTTGTTTGCTGTTAACATATCAGTAGCAATAGGTCTCCCGATTAGGCTGGCAATTTTACTTATGCTTTTGGAATTCCACAAATTTAGTCTCAAAGTAGGAAGTTGAATCCATAAGGGATAAACACACTCATCAGATTTATTATTTTCTTCATCTATAGACCAAGGTTTTAAGAGCATTGGTCTAGATCCAAAAAACCAGGGTCCTTTACAAATAACCTCATTCATTTCTTCTTTCCCTTTGAATTTGAACAAGAACAAACCTGCCTTTAAAAGATAGATTTCAGGAGATTGAGGCCATACCTTGTGCACATAACTTTCCATAGCTTTGAAAATAACATTCAAACCAAGAACCTACCCCACAACAGAGGAAGACCACATTGAAGCTCCCTCATTTCATTCCTCTTCATCAAATACCACTGAATCAGTTGAAACAGAAGGCAAAAAATCCAACACCATGCTATTCCCAGGCCTCCTGTTATCTGAAAACAGGCTACTCTAGCTCTTAACAGGGATTTTAGAATTCTCTAAACAAGGATCAAGAGATTCATCCAAACTATCTTTATTCTCCTTATTCAAAGTTAGAGAACCATCATTTTTAGTGTTAGAATTCAAAGAACCAGGAGAATCAACAATTTTAAAATTTGAATTCAAAAGCACATGCCCAAAATTAGGTAAGGAACTTGATAGTAACTCAGATTCGGACTCCTCTGCCCAAGAAACCCTAGCAGAGCTCTTTCTGCCATTACAAGAAATAGAGGACTTACCGTGCCCCTCCATTGGAGATAGCTGACGATCTTGAATTCCTGCCATCAACGGATGATCTTGAGCTCCCTTCTCCAGAGATGACATTTGATCAAGATTTGAATCATTTAGAGAACTTGAAGATATCAGAATCTCCGCCATCGATTTGGACTTCCTCGCTCCCTTTGGACCCATCGATCCCATGGGAGATCTTTCTTCATCCTCACTATCAACAGAATTTACATCCAAACAGTCCACAGGATCGATCGGAGATGAGACTAAAACTCCTAATCCTGATTTGAGAATCTTTTTCCCACTAAACTTCTTCTTCTTCGCCATTGAATTCTCAGCAGATGCGTATGTTAGCAGGAAAAATTGCCTGCTAACATGCGCTGTAACCGATCCAACCGTTCAAATTGGTTTACAAACTTCATTTAGTTATTCCTATGTTTTTACTTGTTTATTGGTTTCTACTATTTCCGTTGCATATTCTGTGATCTTTTGAAAAATAGTAAGTAATTCTATTCACCCATCCTCTAAGTTTACATCTAAGATCCAACACATATAACTCTTATAGTTTGGTTATCATATTTTTATAATATCCTATAATATTATTTTCGCATAGTATTTTTCCCCCCTACAGATGGCTGTATGATTTCTTTCTTTCTTTCGAGTCTCCTCAGGGTCCATTTCCCCTAGCTTTTGTCTCACATAGGTAGCCCTAACTTTCGTTAAAAAGAGAGAGCAAAAGATATGCCCTCTTTTAGTTTTATCTTTTGTTATCTATACACAAATATGATAGAAGATATGATTGTGCGCAGGGATCAAAAGATAAGTAAGCATTTAACTAAAAATTAAACATGTAAACATTGAGGGTCCACCCTAAAACAAAGAACTCAAAAAGAGACTGATGCTTTCATAGATGAGTACGGTAAAAAGAATTACAGTAACACCCTTTGACTGTAGTGATACTAGAGGAAAAAATTAGGACGGGGAACAAGTAGCATGTGCCAAAGGAGGGGAATATCTCATTTCATGTACCATTATGTTTGGTAGGATCTTCAGATTTGATTAATATTTTAATGAATTTACCTTGTATTAATCCTCCAAAAAATATCATAAATATAAATCTATTACTTAAATATCATATTTAAAGAAATAGGCTAATATTTAAAAAAACCATTAACTTTGGACAATTTTCGGGAAACCCCATTAACTTTCAAAGTATTATAAAAATCCCCCTTCAGCATATTTCCTCTAGAGTTAAGTTAAATGTGGATATTAAGAAGGCATTTGACACTATCAGTTGGAAGTTTTTGAATGATATGCTCAAGGGATGTGGATATTAAGAAGGCATTTGACACTATCAGTTGGAAGTTTTTGAATGATATGCTCAAGGGCTTGGGCTTTCCTACAGTGATGATTAGAAGTTTTTGAATGATATGCTCAAGGGCTTGGGCTTTCCTACAGTGATGATTACCTGGATCATGTCCTGTGTATCTAGTCCTAAATATTCTATTTCTATCAATGGTTCTCTTCATGGCTATTTCAAGGGTGAGCGTGGTCTTCGACAGGGTGATCCTCTCTCTCCCTATCTTTTTATTTTGGGAATGGAATATCTCTCGAGGGATTTAGATATGCTCAAGAATGATAAACTCTTCAAATTTCACCCCAGGTGTGGTAAGTTCAAAATCACCCATCTGATCTTCGCTGATGATTTACTGCTCTTCAGTAGAGGAGACATTTATTCAGTGGGTAAACTGCACCAGTGTGTTAGAAATTTCAGCAAAATCTCAGGTTTGGAGGCTAATGCAAGCAAATGCTCTATTTTTTTTGGTGGTGTTGATGACAATATCAAAGCCTCTATCTCAAATCTCCTGGGATTCACAGTAGGAGTATTTCCAGTTAGATATCTTGGAGTTCCTTTAGTGTGCAAAAGGATTTCTTATGAGGATTGCAGCTCCCTCATAAACAGAGTTTCAGGACAGCTTCAAAACTGGTCAAAACACAATAATCTTACCTATGCGGGAAGGCTACAAGTCATTAGGAGTATTATAATGGGTGTTCAAGTTTACTGGTCATCCAATTATACTCTTCCTATCAAAGTTACCCGCAAAATTGATCAGTTATGTAGAGATTTTTTATGGGGAAAATCCAATCAGTCCTCTAAAATGCCTCTAGTTGCTTGGAATAATGTTTGTATGGATAGAAAGAAGGGAGGTTTAGGTATATACTCTGCTACATCTTGGAATTTGGCGGCAACCTTAAAAATCCTATGGCAAATACATTCAAATAAGGAGTCTCTTTGGATCAAGAGGGTTCATGGGACTTACTTGAGACGAAATGACATATGGCATGTGACAACAAAGAGTAGTGACTCCTGGATGTGGAAACAAATGATCAAAGCAAGGGATAGAGCTGCTCTCTCTTGTGGTGGGATTAACAATCTGTTACAGTTGCTAAATGTTTGCGGCAGGAATACAAAGTTTCATATCTCAGCTTTATACCATGATTTATTACCAGTTTCTCAGCAAGTGCCATGGCATTATACTGTTTGGGATCAATTGTGCTATCCTAAACATTCTTTTATAAGTTGGCTTGCTGTCTTGAACAAATTACTTACAAAGGACAGATTGATGAAGAGAGGGTTAACAATCGACGGTTCATGCTGCTT